GCGCTGGCCCTGCTGCTGCTCCTGCTGCCCGCCGGCTGTCCCGTGCGGGCGCAGAATGACACGGAGCCCATCGTGCTGGAGGGCAAGTGCCTGGTGGTGTGCGACTCCAGCCCCTCGGCGGACGGCGCCGTCACCTCCTCCCTGGGCATCTCCGTACGCTCCGGCAGCGCCAAGGTGGCCTTCTCTGCCACGCGGAGCACCAACCACGAGCCGTCCGAGATGAGCAACCGCACCATGACCATCTACTTCGACCAGGTCAGCGGGCCGGCTGTCCCCTCGCCTCCTGGCTGGGGCGGCGAGGGCGGGGGCCTGGGCGCGCAGGAGGGTCGCCGCCTTCCCGGAGGTGCAGTGCCAGGCTCTCCCCTCCTCTCTGCCCTGCCTTTCTCCTTTCTCCAGAAGGCTCTCCTTTTCACTTTGTAGCTTTTTTTTTTTTTAATATAACGAATCAGCTCAGTGGGCAGTTGGGTGACTGAGAGCCCTGTAAAGCTAAGCCTCCCGCAGAGCTAAGAGATCTGAAATCGATTTCCCCAAAGGAAACCGTTCGTTTCACTTTTCGCTGGGGTGGGGGCCGTCATTTGTGGTGGATGGACTTCCGTCACCCCGCTGGCCAGCTTGGAGACAGACTTTATTTAAACTCTCCAAGCTCAGCGTGGGGGTTCTCCGAAGGTCTCAGCCAATGCTTAGAAAATACGTACCTATTGCTCATTTTGTAATGGACTGGGGAAAGGATGCTTGTCTTCAAGAAAAATAAGTGGGGAAGGGTGTGGGGGAAATAGCAGGGAAGGTTATATATAAACAAAACAAAATACAGTGTGGTTATACAAATGTAGCATATATAAAACATAACGTACAAACACAATATCAATACAGTACATGGTGTGGTTATAGAAATAACAAATAATATAAAGAGCAGTGGCTTAAGTTGCCCCAGCCACTCGACTTCTCCCACCCGGTTCAAAGCAGATGGCTCTGCATTGTGTCCAGCCCTTGGCCATCCCTTCTCTGGGTTACTGCTGTGCAGGATGAGAGGTTGTGACCTTACTCCTGTGTCCTCCCTGCCCACCTTGGTTTCTGTTGTTCTCCAGAAGCAAAACATTATGGTGGTTTCCAGACTTTTCCTCATTGTTCCATTCCTTTGTCCAAAATACTTGCCACAAAAATGGAGCTGTGGGCTCACTGTGCACACTTGACTGAGGCCCCTTCTGTCAACCAACTCTCACCTGAAGAATGACCAATCTGCGCACCCCAAAGCCTCTCCTTGGGTCGTGCATTTATTTGCTTTCATTGTTGTTAAAGGATGATGTGTTTGAAATCTGGGGAGGTGGTGTTGGAGAGGTCCCTCTTTAGTCTGTGTTTTTACAAGACATAAAAGACATCTTTATTTTCATTGTGTCCAACCAACACAGACAGCGATGAGTCAGATTTCACAGATTTTATATCCATCGTCTCAGTTCGGTGTCGAGTGGACTCTGTGAGGTACAGGAGAAGTTGTAGTGGGTGCTAATTTTATGGACGAGCAGACTGAGATGGAGCAGGCTGAAGGGTGATTGTCTGGTTCCCCAGGTAGGGAGCAACTGAAACCCGCTTTTCTGGGGCTGCTGGCTGTTCCCTCATCGACGGCAGGGCCCTGGAATGACCAGTTTCCTGAAGTAAAAACGGAGGTGACAGCTGAGGCAGTTGAGTTTGGAGAAGCAGCGCCCAGGGCGTGGATGGAGGAGGCTTTGTGCTTTTTTAACGCGTCGCAGGGCAGACGGAGAGCCGTGGAGGGAGGACGACGGGCGTTCGGAAGGGCACCGTCTGTAACAGTGGATCCTGAGAGTCCCCGAGCCCTGCAGTCGAGGGGAGCGGAGTGGTGCTCGGAGCGCCCTGAGGAAGCCGGTGGGGGCGCCCTCCCCAGGTCGTCCCAGCGGCGGTCGGCGCAGCCGTGCCGTTGCTCTAGGAGTGGCAGTTCTCCGTCAGTACCGAGAGCGTACAGAGGAGCAGCGGAGGGTGTTCGGATGAAGTTTATTTTCTGAACGTATGACAGGAGCTCCCACCTCGGGCTTGCTGTTGTTGCTGGCTGCTTGTTCTAAAAGCTGAGGACGCCAGGAGAGCCTCCGCGCTGTGTTAATTGAGTTGCGCATCTGGGTGTGAGTAGGAACGGCGGCAGTGTCCAGACAGGGTGGCCCGATTCTTCCTGGAACATCTGAAAGGGAATTGGGTCTAATGGGGGACCTCCCGCGATTCAAGTTCTGTTTATGACGTCATAGCACGCTCATCCTTCTTTTATTTGGGGAAAAAAACCATCTGGAGGGTCACGTGACTTAGCCCCTTGGCCCATCTGGCCACTGCTCAGGCAGGTTGGGGCGTTCGCGCGGTCTGGGCACCGGGGGCCCTTCTGCTCCCCCTGGGTCACTCAGGCTCACCTGCATGACGTCATAGCTCAGCTCAGGCAGCAAGCATCCTACTCAGAGGACAGTGAGGGGAAACTGTGAAGCCAGCATTTATCGAGTCTTTGACTCAGCAGCCTTTACTGAGCACCTACTGTGTGCTGCCGGGGGCTGGGAATGGTGGAGACAAACACCCTCAGTCTGCTCAGTCCTGACGCACGCAAAGTTCGGCCCCAAGCTTTATGGGACAGGAGTTATCTCATTTAATTGGCCTCTTATTTCACAGCCCTTTCTCACCTCTTCAGTCCAGAGCTCTGTTTTGGTCAAAGCTTCAAAGACCCCAGAATTTGGTTCAAGTCCCCAGGATCCCCCCAGACCTCTGCTAAGACTCAGTTCACAGCTTGTCTACTGACCTGATGGTCTTCCGTTCCCTCCCCTCTGCCCTGCCCCCAACACACACAGTTGGCATCTGCTTTTTCGATGCATAAATAAAATATACTTTAAAGAAACCTTTCTGAATTATGATCCATTGG